TTGGTGTCAACGCCTTATGCATCTATCTGCCAACATAAAAGGTAAACTATAAGCCATCAACTTTAATATAAAATAAACTTGAAAATTTTTACTTTTTATTATATGTAAATAAATTTATAATTTTTATTTCGCAGAAAATATAATTATAAACTTTGAAAATTATATAGAAAGTTTAATTGATTTAATTAGAGACTAACCATCGTTAACTAAGACAACTAACATCTACATGACATGACGTTGTGAAACATATATGAAGCACACGTGAACTGATGTGTGACATATGTAGGTATTAAACCTAGTTTTGAAAGAGATGATTTTATAGGGTAAATGATGTTGATAATTGCAAATGGCCTATTTTTTTTTTTTTCTCTTTTATAACTCTATCTAGGTTTTTTTCAATTAATTTGTCTTCCATAAACTTTGGGATAACAAACGATACTCTTTACTATATAATTTTTAGTTTTCCCTACTGAATATATAAGATATGGTAATTTGAATAAACAAAATGTTAAAATGTTTGAAAGAGTCTTTCATCTTGATTATTGCTATGTTACATATATATGCATAAAAATGAAATTTAGAATTCATGATGCTTTAACAACGACGATAACAACAACAATGATGATGATGATGATGATACCATTTTGATCAAAAGAAAACTTTTGAGTTTGGAATTTATATAGATTATATAGCTGGGAGATCAAATATGATCAGCTGGGTCCTTCCATTTGGTTACAATAGGAATCATGTTGAATAGTATCAAATGCATGGAAACAAAGAACAAAAATAAAGAGAGTTAAATGGTAGGGTATACCTTAGCATTGGAAACAAGTACTATAAACCTAACAAGCAAATATATAGTATTCTCTATAAATGATGGGTTTCTAGATTAATAAATGGAGAAGAACTTTTTTGCATCATTGAAGAAACAAATCAGATGGAGTAGCTAGGTTTTTTAAAGATACACAATAGAAAATAGAGTATTTTTGGATTGAGATATCAAATCCCATCTTTCACTTTCACTATAACATTTCTAAAGAAGATACAAAGTTTTTTTTTTTTTTTTTTTGGTCTCTTAACTACATGATCTATCGACAACAGATTGAACAAGACCGTCAGGGTTTGATGGATGACTAGGTTGTCTAGAAAAAGTATGATCCAGGGTTCTTGACAGTCCATTGATCAAGAACAAAAATGGGGAGAAGATTTTGATGTTGGTTTTAACGGCCATGAAAAGAAAAACAGCCTTATTTGACTGATGTAATAATTTCATAAATTGGCCCACCAAAGAACTTTTTTTTTGTTGGTCGTGTGGGCTGTTTATGTGGTCTATTGACAAATTGCAATGTCTCCCGTACAAGTGGGAATAAAAAAAAAAAAAAAGGAATAAAGATATGGCCACTCTTGAAATCACACTCCAATTCATATGTTGACTATGTGTGGTTCAATGTTTTTTTAGGTGATCATAATAGACTATACAAATTGATTAATAAAGTAGTGATAGTAACAAAACGTTAATTAAATTAAATTGTAATACACATAATTTGTGTTTTATTTTCTCAAATTTTTTTATGAAATTACAAATATAAGAAAAGTTATGATTATATCTATATATAATATATCATTGAATAATAAACAAACAAATTAACTAAAACATAGCTAGACAATCAAACCCACAAACAATAAAATTTGAATTTAGGTCTTCCTTTTCAATTTTTTTGGGTTAGCTCTAAATTATTCTTCCAATCCCTTCAAACCATTTAAATATCCATTCAAGTTTAAAAAGTGGTACTGAAAAGTATTTTAGACTAAAATTTGTTGTAGTTTACCTCTGTTATTTTTATGTAGCTTTGTTTATATCTACTTTTGAATTTTGAATGAAATTTTTATTCATCTAAAAAATTTTAATACTAAAGCTACAATTGAAAACGTAATAAAAAGCCATTTTCTATTGCGTTGAAATGTTGTTTTGATATTTAATTCTTATGAATTCAATGTCATTTTAGCATTACAAGTCAATCTTCTCATCGTACTTTCAAAATGCACCTTAAATAATCAATTTCTCTTTCAAGATTGTCAATGGAAAAGAATATCAACTTCATGTGGTTGCAATTTATCTTAATTTAAAAAAAAAAAAGAAAAGAAAAAACAAAGAGCTAATTGAAAAGAATCTAAAAAAAAAGAAAACTTCTTTAATATCATTATCATTACTAAAATGACTTAAATATATATTAAAAGATATCACTTTATCTTTTGGAAGGATTACAACAAACTGAATTAATTAGAGGATATAGATCAGTCTTATTCAGCCAACCTCCCTTTTTTTTTTTTCTTTTTTTTTTTTTCTAGAAACGAAAGTAGCAATTCCCATTGGCTAAATTGTGCAAGAAGGCAAATTGCAAAAAGTAAATGGTGAAAAATGAATTTCGAATGGACACAACAAGAAACAATGACAGAATGATCATATATTGCATTTGCGGGTGCAAAATGTACCATCGGAAAAGGAAAATGTGGCAGAGTTCCAAACCCAAGTGATCCCACTGGTCCAGTCCAAGAATTGACCAATGTTGGCTGCCAATGGCTTCATATTCCTCTACGAATTGAAAATATAATGGAAAGAACCTTAAAAACCTCTTCATATCTATCTGATTGGAAAAAGATGCAATCACCCAAAATATATATTACAAAATCATGATCTTTTCTGATCAGTTCAACAACACATAAATAGCTTCACAAACAGCTCAAATCTTTTGTTCATTTGAATATAGAAAGTGGTTTATTCCTCAATCAAAGTCAAAGATTTTGGAGTAAATAATTCAAGCTCTCATATATTTAATCAAAAGACTCGAAATTAACTGGACAAGAAACAAACACTAAGATTGATCGATGGGGTTTCTTTTCTAAGTACGTATTTGGAGTCCCAGCTAAGCTAGAAGAGCTTGACGCCAAGGGAAACAAAGACAACCCCCGATACTCCAAGACCGTACTGTCCCAAAGTACATTCCATTCTCAACAAAAGAGCCTACCACTCATAATGACACACCATACTCACCAATCAGTTGGCAACTAAAACTCATTTTGATTCTCTGCTGACAAAACACTCCCTTGTTTGATGATTACTAGCTAAGTCCAATGACTGCAAGCGTGAAAGCTTTTTGAAGATTGATCACAGTCGAGAACAGATGATACATCAGACAACACTGTCTAGCCACAGTGGTCATCCAGCCACTGGAAACCTATATATATTGACTCACATTTAGCTATGACTCGAGACTACCCTAGACAAGATGGTCAATGATTAATTATACTTTAAAGATGAAAAGTGGGAAAAAGGGTCAAAAGACTCATGGTACAAGTGATGGACGACCCTACGAAGCTAAGGATTTTACAAGTTTCGAAAAACCAAATACTATCAAGTGTGCTCTGCCACAGATGTGCACACAGGGCACTCGCAGGTGATCTTTTTTTGCAAATCCCTTTATTTGCTTCTTTTGGTTCTCTCTGATCAGCTGTCCCCCATCTTTTCTGGGCTCCTCCTTCGATCATCCGTACAATTTTGACTCTTTCTTGTCCTCTTCGTGTGATTTAATGCTACGCTTAGGTGATAATCAGTGGTGGAGATCTAATGAAACGTACGTAAGGCAAAGGAAGCTGAAGTTTTTGTTTGGTTTTACCCTTTTTTTTTTTTTTACTGGGGGAACTGGGGAAGTGGCGGCAGCAGAAGTGTGATGAAGTCAGGTAAGTCACTGATACCTGGGGTAGGGGTAGTTGCTAACATGCGCAGGGGGGTGCGTAGGGTTTGAGTACTGAGCTTGGGGACAAAGTAGAAGCAGATAAAGCACAAGAAAGGTAGGGTTGGCAATGGGGTAAGGTTTTAGGGTAAGAGAAATTTGGCAAGCCGCGGAGAAAGCTTCCTCCTATAGGACCACCTGCTTTTAACGGACAAAAATTAAAGCTATTTCTTTATCTGCCCTTCGCCCACTCTCCTCCTCCCTCGAGTGTATTTCCTTTTCTTCAAAATTTGAAGAAGAATCCACAACATCATAAATGATTAAATGTAATAAAATAAAAAGATAGAAAGGGAAAAAAATAGGAAAAAGGAAGGAAGAAAAAGATGCGGTCCCATTGGCAATTGAGAGAGAGATGGGTGGAATCCTTCAATTGAGCAATTAATTAGAATTAGATGGAGAAAACATTGGACCACCTCAGCTCCATCTCTCTTTCAGTCCTTTATCTTGGAAACATTTTGCACAGTACATATCCCAGCCCACCTAGGTTCATCTACTTTTCTCTCTTTCCCCTAAGAAGATAACAGATCGGATTTAATTTAATTTTGTTAAATAATACATAATATTATAAATTTTTAAATTTTGAATTCGAATTTTTTTTTAAATCAATATGATTTAAATTAAATTTTATTGATTCGATTAATTAATTTATTAATTTTATTAATTTGATTTTTTTATATATTATTTTAATAAAAAATTTAATGTATTTAAATAAATATATATAATAATTAGTTTTATTTTATAAATTTTAAAATATATATAAAAACTAATAATATGGTTAGATTCGGTCTATTTTTTTCAACTCTTACTTAGAATGATTTTGTGGGATTCGGCCAAAAAAAAAAAAAATCTCTACTCATAGCGGGTGGCTTCTCTTCTCTTCTCTAATGTAATTATAATATGGGATTAGGGTTAATATTGCTATGGACTTTGGGTTTGTTTGATAGAAGGGGGAGGGGTGGTTTTGTGAAAGAAATGATAAAAAAATGGTAAAATAAGCAGGTCATGTGGCGGCTTGTATTTTGTTTACCAGGCAAATGACGATCATTATTTTCTGTTGTTCTCCTGGGTGCTGCTTGACTGTTTTGCAAAAAAGGGAATTTATCTTTTTAATGATTATTTTACCTCTTTAAAATAATAATACTACTGATTACATTGTTAAACAAATTATTTGATTATCAGTATATTTTATTATTGGTTATGAAATAATTGAGGGAGGGGGGATTTTTCTTGATTTTCTTATTAGGAATTCTGTTTTGGATGTATTTTACATCATAATGCATTGACCCCCTAGAGCTAGAGAGAGATAGGAGAGAAAAGGGAGAGAGAAGAAATTAAAGGCAACTATATATATATATATATAGAGAGAGAGAGAGAGAGAGAGAGAGAGAGAGAGAGAGGGGCATATATGAGTCACTATGTTCATGGCAATGTAGAAGGGTCATCATCAGCTCTCTGATCCTCTATTTCTAAGGAAGATATATCTGATCTTTCTGCCTAGGTTGTTTTTTCATGCCACACCATGTTGGCTTTTTAACAGGACAAGTTTGAGCAAAGAAAAAAGGCAAAGAGGTGGGCGCACTTTGGCTTAGCTCCTATCATCACCATCATCATCATCTCCTTCACCACCATCTAATTCTTCTAATCCTTTCTGTATTCTTCGTCGTCATCAATCCTCCATTAAAAAAAGTCCATTCCAGTTGATTCTTTAACAACATAGTTCAACTTGTTCCGTAACTGGTAAGGACTCCCTTTTCTGTCTCTCACGTTAAGTTTGGTCTAAAAGAAGAAATGAAACCAAAGTTTTCTCTTTTTGTTTATTTTTATGATCAAAAGGGTACCTTTAAAGTCTCATAAAATTTTGTTAACAAAATTAATCTTTGTTTATCAACTAAGTTATAGCTGTGTTTTAATAGTTGGTTTATGGCTTCCTTTATTCTTGGAGTGAATCTTGATGGAATTGTTGTTGCAGAATCAGCACCAACTTTTGGTCACTATCTGAGAAGCTAGTGGGCAAGAGAAGCACAAACAAAGGAACAAAAGGAAGAGAAAAAGAAAATTAATTTGGATTACATGGCTAGAGAACTCTGTGAAGATAAATCAAGGAATATTGTCTCATCAACTGGTTTTTGTTACTCAGATGTTTCATCTGGTAGCTCAACCGTGCAAACCCATCTGGTGAATCAGATCCAAGGATTTGAACCCAACCCAGAGATCTTCAACTTGACAACAGGCATGGAGATGATAGGGTTTTCAAAGAATCTACAGCATCAAGGTGACAGCAACACAGTCATGTGGAAAGGGTTCTTCAACAAACATGGAACCAACCTTAGTCCATCTCCTTCAAAAACAATCAATAAGTCAACGAGCGATTTCTATCAACATGAATTGCACAAACCTGAGTTCACAACTGGGATAGCTGAAACTAGTACAGAGAATCTAATAGTTGGACCTGAGTCGGCTCCTTGGCAAGAGAACAGGTTGTTTGTTGATGACTCTTCTTTGAGGTGTGTTTTTCCTTGTGAAGGAAACGAGAGGCCAAGTCAAGGTCTTTCACTCTCTCTTTCATCTAGTAATCCTACTAGTATCGGGCTACAGTGTTTTGAACTCAGACAAACCGGTCACAGTAATCATGATCAGCAAGATGATATGAGGTTTATTGGTTCAAGTTCTAGAGATGGCTTCTTTGGAAAGCCTTCAAATGTTCAATCGCAACAACAAATGATCCAAGACGGTTTTCTGGGAAAAGCTGCAAATCTGCAGCATCAAGGGCAGTTCCAACTCAGTAGTTCAAAGTACTTGGGTCCTGCTCAGGAGGTTTTGAATGAGTTTTGCAGCCTCGGAACCAAGCAAATTGATGAATCAAAGCAAAAGCTGACCCATAAGACCAAAAAGAGGGATGATGAGAATGGATCTAGAAAGCAACCCCTTTATTCCCTTGACTTCATGGAGTTACAGAAAAGAAAAACTAAACTGCTTTCAATGCTGGACGAGGTATGATTTATGTGTTTCGGATTCAACTTTTAGTCCTCAAAGGTAATTTCTTTTCCCATTTTTTCAACAAAGGAACGTGGTTTTTTTAATCCAAATTAGGAAAAATCAAGTCTTGAAATTTCACAGGGTGATGATTGAAATGAGGGCTTCCAAATTTCGTTTCTTCAACTAATTTAGCGACTTGGGGCATCCCCATAAATGCCCACATCGTGACAATTCTTGCTTTTCATTTCTTTCAGAAATCTCTATTCCTTTTCTTTTCATGTCATCTTATTTTTCATCTTTTTACTCTGCCTTTGTATGTATTCCATGCTGTAAATCTCATTTCTTTTCGTTAACATGTATATATGAACAGAAAATTCAACTCTCTTTTTCACTCCTATCCTTTTCTACCTTCTCATGTATCATTAGGTGGATAGAAGATACAGGCACTACTGTGATCAAATGAAAGCCGTGGTATCTTCCTTTGAAGCAGTGGCTGGCTCCGGGTCAGCATCAGTGTATTCAGCTTTAGCCTCCAAGGCCATGTCAAGACATTTTAGATGCTTAAGGGATGGAATTATTAGTCAGATTCAGGCTACAAGGAGGGCCATGGGAGAAAGAGACCCAGTTGCGCTAGGCACAACGAGAGGTGAAACACCAAGGCTAAGGATCCTTGATCAAGCTTTGAGGCAACAAAGGGCTTTTCAACAGATGAGCATGATGGAGAGTCATCCATTTAGACCCCAAAGAGGCCTGCCAGAAAAATCTGTTTCTGTTCTTCGAGCTTGGTTGTTTGAGCATTTTCTTCACCCGTAAATATCTCTCTCCTTCTCTCCACTTATCTCAGCTCTCTTTACAAGATTCAAGGATTTTTATACGTAAAGTACAAAGTAGATTTTGTGAGAGAACTAATGTTTTCTATTAAGAAAAAGAAAACAACTCTTGCAGTTGTTATAGTACTGTAAGTTTTCTCTTATGTTGAGTCTCAATCATTTTTCTTGCAAAAGCAATGCAGTCTTTTTTAGTTTCTACCCATTACCATTCAGATTCCACATTTTATTTGGTCATCTTATTTCAGTCATTTAGTTTTCTTTCCCCTATATATTTGCTTGGGTCAGTTTCTCTCGGTTATTTTTATGTGGATTTGATTCTGTTAACATACATAAATACATGCATACATACATATATACATACACACATACATACATAATACATATATATATATATATATATATAGGACCCATCTTCCCCTCACAAACAATTTAGCAAAAGTACCATCTATGGCTCCAAAGTTTCAAAACTAACTTGGTATTTCCATGAATAAAACTTTTGCAGGTATCCAAGCGATGTTGATAAACATATCTTAGCCCGCCAAGCCGGTCTCTCAAGAAGCCAGGCATGTCTACATCCCCCTCTCTCTATTTTTTTTTAGTCCTCACGAATTAATTTATATTATCGATGGAGCATGCCTTGTTGGGATCTTAAGTTGTTATAATCATATTCAATTCTTGTGCTTGTATCATACCAAAAATATTGTACTATAGTACTATATTTGATCATATTATATATATTTTTTACTTGTATTCCAATAGGTATCCAATTGGTTCATTAATGCGAGAGTGAGGCTATGGAAACCAATGGTGGAAGATATGTACTTGGAAGAAACAAAGGAGCACGAAAACAACATGGCCTCCTCAGATGGAGTCAATGAAGTTGATGATAATGGTGGCCGGGCTAATCAAAATATTCCTCTCACTGACCTGAAACCCACCCCGGACCAGCTCGTTCGAGTTGATTCGGAATGTCTGTCATCCATTATCACTAACCCAGATGAAAACGACGCGCAAAGTGCCAAAACCATTCAAAACCGGTATTTGCATCAGCAACAAAGTTTTGGAGCCTATGGTGCCATGGAATTGGACTTCTCTTCCTATAGTCATCACACAGCGGGTGGGGTATCTTATGGAAGCGATCACAATGCTAATCAAAGTTTCAATGATGGAGGCGTGTCATTGACGTTAGGGTTGCAACAGCATGGTGGGAGTGGGGTGAGCTTAGCCTTCTCGCCCGCATCACAAAGTTCTCTCTTTTACCCTAGAGACCACTTTGGAGATTGTCAACCAGTTCAGTACTCACTTTTAGATGGTGAGGAACAGCATTTGCCTTACAGGAACTTGATGGGGGCACAGTTGCTTCATGATTTGGCTGGATAGCAGGGAAGGACAAAAAAGGGGGCTAAATCAGATAGTTGGTGGGGTACTTCATTAGAATTCTCATCAAAAGGATGAAAATGGTAGACAAATAGTTTGGACTGCATAGATAAATACTGAAATACGCATATATACATAAAGCTATACTTTTTGATTTAGATATACTATATGAACATATTATTAGTTCAATGGCTGGCCGCTCTTTTCAATTGGAACAACATGTTTGAAAATTGCCAGTTATTGATGCAAGGCTATAGCTACACAGATATTTCTTTCCTCTTTCTGGTGGAATCTGTTTTGCAAAAACTTTAACCTATTATATCATTTTTGTTAGGCCTTTATCTCTCTCTCTCTCTACCCAAGCTAAGTGATTGAGTCGTTTGTGGTTCTTCTTTCAATTGAACTTTTAAAATTTTCTTTTGAGGATCATCTAGATATTTTTATTTCTTTTTTTCCTTTTCTATAATGACAAATTAATTGAGCAACACAATTTGGTTGGGGGTCCTTAGTTTTGGAGATTAAGACAATTCCCCATAAGAATTACAGAATATCGATCGTGATCGTTTCAGTTGGTGTGGTCCCTAATTCATCTTCATGACCAAGATGATATTTCATGTCCATAGAATTGCCTGTTTTATGATTTGCCAACTTTGCCATGGTTTATGCTACTGCTTTTGCCAATGAAAAGGTGCCTTACCAACTTCCTATTTAGATATAGTGTGAAAAGCTATTAGGTTTTTCTCTAATTAAGTTTTTTTTTCTTCCATTGTTCAAGGGACAAAGTTTTACTCAAAAAGATTAATAGAAGAACCCCAATTAATAAATTTCCCACAATAATTATAACCTCCTACTATTTCCTACACCGCAAATAAACCCAAATTCCAGGATCTATTTCCTGTTGTGGTCTGGTCTATAATTCATAGTTAACAAAGGAATAAGTTCTCGCATGAAGATTATGACCTAATAAGAATGTACAAAACTTACGTGAAGTTTTTTTTATAAAAAATGATGTAATAAAACTTTTAATAAAAATTACAATAGATAGATTAATAGAGTTTAATATGAAAATTAATAATATGTAAAAAAATATATTAAAAATATTGTTTATAATTCAAATTTAATCGATATTTATTCAATAGTAAAAATTCTATCAATATTTTTATTAAAAGTATCTATTTAAAAACATATTAAATTTTTTTAAAATTTTACATATCTAATCTATACAACGAGATTTTTCATTCTATTAATTTTTATTTAATCACTTTTAGTAAAAAATTTCACTTAACTTCACCTAAAAACTTCATCTAAGTCTTGTAATTCCCCCCTCTATCTTGCGTAGTATTGGCTTAAACAAAATAGGCAAAGTAATCTACCAACAAATACTAATAATTAAACCATCCAACGCATAACTTTAATGCTCATTTAATTTGCTTCAAATGAATCGAAGTGAGAAACAATGGAAAAGAATTGCTCAGTACCATATTCGAGTGATTGCACCAATTTTCATCAAATATTAAAATGCTTTAATCATATTTGTAAAGTCTTTAAAAAAAAAAAAAAGCATGCCTAGCTTACGTTTTCAACTGAAGTTGACATCCTGTAAAAGGTATTACTCTTCGCATGGTTGTCTTGGAAGCAAAAAGCCTAACTTGGACTCCATGTTTTCTTTTCTTCACCTTCAAATGGTCAGGTCTGTAAGTAGCTAGAATTTTTAAGGAAATAAATCTTGGTTTTTGACATGTTTTTGTTCCTGCATATGTTCTAGATCGGCTGCAAAATTTAATGGTCGATAATAAAAATATTAAAGAAATATACGTTATAATTTCTGCAGTGACATGCAGTTCAAACATATAGTTGGAGGGATATTTGCAAGTGAAAAGTACATACTTCAATTCCTTTGTTTTTGCTGATAGATTATCCTTGCTTTTTTGTCAAAAATTTTTCTTTCTTTCTCTCTTTGTTTCTCTCTCATGAATGAGTAAAAATGAAGATCATTTAACTGCACGTGGTTGAAGTCGATCTGCCCTGGTAAACTCTGCCTGTAAGCATATATATTTTGGTTTTCATTTAAGATTTCGTCAAATTTCTAACATTATTCCAATGGTTGAAACTATGAAACTGCAACTTTTTCCCTGAGAAATAATGTTCCAATTGTTGATTCAGTTCGTCCTTTAGTTTTGCAAACTTTCGAGTTTCTGAAGAACCCTAAAGCAAAGGCTTTAGGCTTTGGGTTCAGACATCGCCCCTAATTCTCCCGCTGTCATTTTCTTTAAAAATATGTGATTTGAGCCTTTTGGGGACTACGTGTAAATATGCCCAATCAGACTCAATGGGTTCAACCCCTCATGTTTTGAAGAGGTATACATATCAATCCAAACATAAAAGAGATGGGCCCTTCAAATGGCAGAAGCCCACGTCAAATCAATTGGGCCTTACTTTCTCTTACACACTTTTTTTTTTGCTGAAAATTATATATATAGTTTTTTTTTTTTCATTATTTTTTATTTTAAAAAAATGAAAGTGATGATTCTTTTCGTCGAAATACAGGAAAATAATTACATTTAAATACTAGGATTTATTGTCAAGAATTTTAATGCCATAAATTTGTTAAATTGGGAGACATATTAATAAATATAATATTTAATATTATGTAAATTGATTTGGATTGTTAACATAAAATAATTACTTACAAGTTTTTTTTTTTTTTAAAAAAAATTCAGGATAGATAAGCTGTTCAATCTTCTAGGTTAATATGAAAATAATTAGTTATAATTTTTTTTTAAGAAAAAATTCTGAGATAAATAAGTTGTTCAATCCTTCAAATCATGACAAAATGTATCGTACTTGATAACTTAAAATAAATGGTTACGTGTACATTCAAAATTACCTTAATAAGTGATCACCAATAAGATTCAAACTCAAGACTTCTTCATCTAAAAAAATAAATTTTAACCGATTGAATGACAAGTTATAAGTGTGATTGCATCGCTAAAGAAACATTGTTTAAGATTCATTACTCCGGGAATAAAAATAAATAAAATCATCAGCAAAACAAAGATAAATAGAGTTTAGTAAAAGTAATTGAATTCTTTTTTTTTAACTCCATCGACTAAGACGAATATCCACTGCACGATGACGAAGGGTCGATCACGCGGTGGCCCCTACTGTTCTGGGCACTCGATCTACGATGAATATTTCCTTTCCCGAATGATCAGCATGACAGTAGTATTAAATTAAAATACTAAATAATAATAATAATCCTAGAATTACAACCGAACCTTCTTTTTTAATTTCCTAAGTAATTTTATTTAATTGATGAAAGCATTGAATAAACATTAAATAATCAAAAGGGTGACCTGTTCATCTTTGTTTCTTTGGTTCTTCATTTGACAAAGTAAGATCCCAAGAGGCCAAGACAACGGGACCAGATCAAATTCATAATTTTCTAATCCCTGATGAAAACTATACTACAGATTAATTTTGGGGATGAATAATAGGCCAACGAGTAAGCTTTTCTTGGATCACAAGGATCTGGCATTGCTGATACTATCTTTGGACCCACATCCAGTCTCCACTAGACCAGTACTACCACTTAACTTTTTCACTTAAATGAAATATGATTATGTTCCATCAGCTACGGTATCCCTTTCAGATTCAGAACGTACCGTACAACAGATAAAATTATTTGTCCGCTCAAGAACAAACACCAGAGACCAGACTCTAATAGGTGTGGTTCTCATCTCAGAGAATGAACTGGTTCTGGTTATGGTTATGGGGCAGACTGACAGAAGTAATAAACCAGGCAGGGGAGGACCTTCATCATTGTATCTTGAAAATGTGTATGATATGAAATGCGACACTGCTTTTAAACTTTATATGCAAGTTTTTTCGGCTTTGAATTGTTTAATTTTGGTGATCCCAAAATCTTCTTCGGCCTCATACATCCATTGCTATAGTCATCCATTGCTGTGGTCATCATCATCTTCATTAATCAACGAATTATTATGATTCTTCTTTGTTTGATTCTACTTGACTTGTTCAGTTAATCAAAGAAATGAATCTGTTCGCTTGACTCATTAAAATATTTAGCTTGCAAGTAATTACCCGGCCTATTGTCAGGGGCATGCATATCGATAAGTCAGAAATTCGGTATTCTCGTTGAGAAAGAAACAAGATAAACGATTAATAAGAGGAGTGAAAAAGTCGTATGGACTACTGCAATTTTTTTTTTATACAACGTATATTTCGTCCTTTGTTTCATTAATGATACTGTCTCTCTCTTGCTGGCACAGGCATACACAACAAAATTGAAGACTTGGGGATAAACTAAGAAAAAAAAATAGTAAAGACAGTGATTAAGGAGATGAAAAAAGAAAAACAAGTTAACACCTAAAACAATGTATTTTTTTTATGGGCCCTAATCTGAAAGGGAAAGAGAGGGGGGATATTGAGATTTGTTTCCATACTTGATGGATGCTTATCTTAACAGTGATTCTTAAATAAAGCCACATTCAACTTTTAAATCACTATATTTCACTAACTTCACCATCCTTACAGACACCCACATTCACCACCATTGTTCCTGGCTCCTTTGATTCCATGACCCTGCAACAGTTTCTTCTGGGCGACTGCCAAAACGAAAAAGAAAACAAACCCATGTCACTTTCTTTGTACTTAAACAGATAGGTTCACCTCAATATTTTAATAATTAAGTCCAGAAGTTGAAAGCTCCTTAGAAGGTCAATAGGAACAGTCTTCCCTATATAAAACTCTTTGAATGAGTACCTCTTACGTGATTGACTAGAGATTAAATTGATCTTGTGACGCATATTTGCAAATAAAAAAACAAGCAATGTAATGCTAAAGCAACTTACTCTATTCCATAGATGTGGGTCCGGTTCCTTGTTGACGATTACCATTTCAAGCTTACCAGGATCAGCCATCTTCCATCTGCAGGGAGGAGGAAGAACACGGTGCCGCTCATACTCGCTCACAGTTTGATTGAGTTCAGAATCCATTCTCACCCTTGACATGTAAAACGCAAAAGGTTTTTGGCATGGATGTCGGCTAACAGCACGAGTGTTGAATGAATATGCTGTGTAACCTTCTCTTCTGTACCAATTCAAGAATGTTCTCGAAGGCATTTCCATCTCCCGAGGTGAAAACATTCCTCTAAAAATTTGAACAGCAAAACCCCACGAAACCGAGATGGTCCAACTCTTAGTTTTGTCATAGCAGATGGACTGCTGCATGATCCCTGCTGAATCCAGCTTTGCAGGTAACATAAGCCGCTGAAGGGCTTCAACCCTGGTGACATTAGGGAATATAGGCTCAACAACATCAAGGTGATGCAGTGATACAAATGGCGTAACAGGATGCGCAGCAAGGAGTCCGAACAAGTTCCCATACACGTCATACTGATTCACATTAACCAAAAAGAAACACTTTGAATCAGATATAGTTGTCAATGACAAATCTCAATCACAAAAGACATAGCATTAATATCAGTGGAAAAATTGTTCCTGCAATGAATCATTCAGCTTCAGCATTAACAATGAACATCTAAGTGGAATTGAAAAATTGCCAGCAAGTTCACTTTCCTCATCGACAAAGACATCAATCTACAAATGCCCACACAGCAAACAACTATAAGAGGGTTGGTAACTTGGTATGCAGACTTCATACATAATACTCGTTAAGAAATTCAATTCATCATACCAACTCAAACCAATTACCATAAACATAGGGATAAAACATCATTTCCTAACTCGTAATTTAGTCTAATGACATTGTTAATTTAGTGCAGCGATGAGCTAAACATTAAACTAGAGGTTAACAAGGACTTTAGCCCCAACAACAAGGTTTAGCCAATAATTAGCTTGATTAATAGGAAAAAAAAAATTCATACGGCACTGCAAAAGACATTGCCACTAATGCACTTCGGCTCCACCAAGACATCTCTCCCACCCAAAAGGGCCACGAAGTCCAAACTCTTGCTCGAAGCTGTTCCATTTTCAGTTAAAGGAGCGTGCCAGCCACGTACTAGAATAGCGCTTGAGCAAAAGACACCACAAATATGACAAAACCAGGTCTAACCCTAGGAACACACGGGTCCCATACCGTCACCTCCGTGCTACGTCTACGAACCCCAGGTGCGGACGTAGAATAAAGCAACAAGCATGGAGACAGTTGTTGATAGTTTCCAATTCGATGCATCTCTTGGATAAAATAAAATTAATTTTTATATTAATTTATTTTATATTTTAAATAATTATATTTAAAATAAAAATAATTATTATATGATAAATGATTATAATTATTTAAATATAAATAAAATATTATTCATAAATATTATAATTATATAAAAAAATAATATTCATTTGAATAAAAATTTATATATGTTATTTATCATAAACAAATTTTTTAAATCATCATTTTTATTACTTTTTATTGAAAAATTTAAAATTTTACTATATCTTAAAAATATAATTATCTTTAAAAATTATTTTTTATGTCTCCAAATCAAAATTTTTTTTTTATTAATTCTCTTCTCGTGTTTATTTTTTCTATCATAATCACCCACCCAAGGTTGATACACCAAAATTACTGTCAATAAACCACCCGCCTGCTGCGGCAATGCCTATTAATCTCATTTATCTACCCTCTGAATTTTTCCGAAACCGAAATTTAACATATTGGAAAATGAGAATCCATTCTCACTAACAACTTCATTAAATCCCTTTAGAATCAAATTCGGTCACGATTAACTTACGCAAATCATAATTATAGATACTGATACTAACATTTATGTCAGTAAAGGAGTACTAGAAAACCCATAATAATGCATTTTAACAGCTTAAAAAGTGACAAAATGAGTCACAGACCTGGTGGAACCCGAGTTCCTTAGTGAGTGGGACACCGAGTTCAGCCATACAAGCCTGCATTCGATCATCGGAGCCGTACAATCCGGGATACCTCTGAATACACCGGTCTTGCATCTTTGCTAAAGCCTTAGCCAATGGGTAACTAATAGCAAAGCCTCCGCCGCCGTAAGCCATGCCATAGGAGAAAAAAATGTTCTGAGTATGAGATTCCGACACGCTCCCAATGTAATAATACTGAGTATGATCATATTTCCTCAAAATCCTAACCAGATTATCCGTGATAAAAACGGTGTCGTCGTCACCCATCACGAACCACCTGACGTTATCCATATTCATCCTTAACATCTCCGTCACGATCCGCGAGATCCGAATCGCGGACCGGTGACCTTTCCGGTTCGTGTAAGCGAAGTTGGAAGTGTCGCCGGAGACTCGAACTGATGGAAGGGTTTGCTTGTCTTCGGGAGAATATTTCACGAGTTCGTCGAGCCAGACTACCCCTCGCATTTGGTTTGGTTTGTACCAAACCTTGATGTACTTTTTTCTCTGCTGCCATAGCTTGGAAGAACCTGCAATTCCAAAAACTACGTCTTGAATTTCTGTGAGGCTTGGTTTCGGCGGACCCTGTTGCATTCGTGCTACTACCACTTGTTTTTCTCGGACATCTCGAAGGCGATGATGGAGTGTCGTTGTCTCAGCCGTTTGATTGAGAATCAACGGTCGAGATGTCAAGCTTGTTTTGTTGGGATGCAGTAAAGAGCGATGAAGAGATAAAGTAAATGGGGTATCGTCGCAGGTATGTTGAGCTGAGGTTGTTAACAGCTTGAGAGCGAAGATAACGTAGCTAACAGAAACGAAGAGGATTAAACAGACCTTGAGCTTGGCATTGGGTCGGGTCGAGGGTCCAGGAACTAGCTGATTGCTTGATGCGCTTCTCATCTGAATCCGATCCCCCGCTACTTTCTCCGACTCTTTCTTGGCGTCTTTCATTTTTGTTTTCCTTTCTTTCTTTCTTTGTTTTTTTTCTTAGTTTTGTTCAAAACTTAGAGACTTTTTCTTTCTTTTATATGCATTATTAGATTCTCTTGGAGAACCTAAAAATGGGGGAATGACTTGTAAGATTTGGTAAGAGAATACGGTACCGTTTCTAGTTTGAAAGATCAGAATGTACCCATAGAAGAAAAAATCAAATGAAATTGGGGGGTTCAAGAGAAAATGGGAAGTAAAAGAGGTCGTCCTTGTTGCCGAGGAGTAAAAGGTGATAGCTTGTAGAGTTGTAGTGTTGCCAGGTTGCAGATCACCCCAAAATGGGAACAACACCAAACAAATAACTATGTTTAAGTTTAATAATTTTTTTCCTTCAATTAAATTTATGATATCTTACGAGTAAATTTGATAATTTAAAATATAATATAATTATAATATAAAAATAATTTAATTTAAAATTTTAATAATAATTATATATAAATTTAATAAAATTAAAAATACATATTTTATAATATTTTATCTATATAAATTATAATACATTATTTTTATTTATAATATAATATAAATATTTAATATTTAATATTTTACATCACATCGCAATCACTAAAACTAATTAAATTTCATTTAAATAGAAATAAAATTTATTATAATTGTAATTAAAAAAATTATTATAAACGTAATTAAAAATTTATATTAATTTAATCTTATTAAAATTAATGTTTAAATTCAACTGAAATACAGTAAGCATAATGGCATAGTATTACAGATGCGGTGAGATCCAAACCATTACTTTGATCGTGTTCATGCGGTCCAGGAATTTTGCATGTGAGACCCCACCTTGCTCTGTAAAGGCCGAAAATAACACGTATCAACACACAATTGGCTGCAGAAAAAACGAGGAAAATTTATGGGCCGAAGCGCGGGTAACCTAGCACAGTTGGTTTCATCGGTCATCGACTTCCTCTCAGACCAGAAACTGCAACAAAGAACAAAGATTGAATTGATTTTACGTGCACTAGCTCTTTACAAGATGGGTCTTTGTTATGTGAGGGGGAATTACTTGAAAAGACAAGAAGGATTGAAGGAGGGAGATGAATTCCGAAACAGAAGGATTTTGCAGTGATTTGAAGCCAAAGAAAACAGAAGAGCGAGATGAAGAACAGAAACAAAACAATGGGGTTGAGTTGCAGTGACAATGGGTATGCATTAACGGTTAGCTTTCTGGATTTTCCTTTTGTTTTGTCCTGTATTTTGAGTGAAGGGAATTTCACTTGGCTTGTTGATAAGTGAAAAAAAAAAAATGGTGATACAAATACCAAGAAGAAAAGAAAAAAAACAGATCAGACCAAAATTTTTGCTGTTTTTTATTCTTTTTCTTATCACTATGAGATTGCATGGAACTTCCTTGTTTGTCTCAAAGAAAGTTTCGAAGAAACAAAAAAAAAAAAAGGGCATGTTAGAGTTTATTGATTGTATAAGTGATATTTTTTTATTATATTAAATATATAAATAAAAAATTAATTAAAAAAGTGAAATATTTTTTAATATCTTAATTTTTCTTATATAATTAAAAAATTATATAAAAAACAAACTCATAGCACAAATTACTACTATTTAAAGCATTTGAAATGTTCAAATCTTTTAAACGGAACAATATGGGATAAAAAAAAAAGGAAAATTTGTGGAACTAACCATTATTTTTTTTTTTTGGATTAAGGAAAAATTATCTTTAGACATATATTATTAATTATCATCTTTTGGCAGATAATTGTAATTCGGATGGATAATAGCATAGCAGCTCTCCACCTTTTATCAATTTGCTTATCTACCAACCATTTAATAAATGGATTTGGTTAAAATATTAAAAAAACTTTTGAATTATTTTATTTTTTTCAAATAAGTTTTTATATTTTTATTTTATTCAAATAAAATTTTATCTCTTGATTTATATTTAAATAAATTCCTATTTGAAATAAAAAATTAATTTATGTTAAAAGCATATTTAGATACAACAAATTAAAAATTAAAAATTTATTTGAGTATAAATTAAAAGTTAAAAATTATTTAAGGGCGATAAAAAAAATATAAAAATTTATCTAAATAAAATGATAAAATTTAAATTTTTTTTATTGTTTTAAACAATCAATTTCAAATAAAAAACCCTAAAGGAAAAAAAAAACAGAAAAAATTATCTAATTAAGTAACTTTTAGTGAAGGGCCAATTAGGGGTGTTTATGAGCCAGGTCGAGTCAGGTTCGAATCTGATTCATAGTTGATATTAATAATTTATATGCTTATTCAAATCTGACATTATTTAAAATTTTGAATCTTAAAATTTTTTTAAATTCGACCCAAATTAAAAAAATAATCTTAAATCCACCCATTAAACTTAATTTATATAATAAAAAATTAAAAAATATGATTAATTTAAATTTAATGAAATTATATTTAATTCACATATACATATAAATTAAAAATAAAAATTATATAAAAATAAAATTTAAGTTTAATAAAATATTTATTTTTAATATATATGTAAATTAATTTTTATATAATTCACATATATATAAATAAATAATTTATATATATGTGAATTCGGATCATGTCAGATTAAGTTCTGATTTTAAATATTTTGTTTAAGCTTAATCCAAAATTTAAACTAACCTAAAAATTATGTTGAAACCCATTTAAAGTGTTTTAATTTTTTGTCTAAAACCTTGTAAAATTTGGATGAACCTTCTTGAACAAGTAAACTGAACCTTGAACAAGCGTAAGGCCAACTACCCCAATCCAATATAGCATCCAAATATTTGAAGTAGACCTTTTTATTATTTTGCCTATCAGAAATCATTGGGAAAGCTTCACTTCAAGTTTTTTCCTTTTTAACCAACTTGTTCATAATTTCTACATCTGACCAGCCAAATTCCATTAAGATTTTCTTGCCTGAAATTGTAAAATTTTAATTTGGGAGAAAGGTTACAGAGAGGTGTTTCTGAGTACTGCTGGCTAAAACTTTCCTATGGTTAGGTTAATCAAATATTCAGAAAACATATTTTGGCCAAAAAAATTTCAAAGAACGTAAGTGCTATAGCTTATTTGGATAAATCTGAAAAAAAAAAAAAAAAGAAGCTACTTTAATTCTTCAATTAAAGGGAAAATTCTTTGTAGTCCCCTCATAATACCATTGAATGGAAATAGACAATTTAACTAAAAACTTACTACAACAGAGAAAAGATGAAGAAGGAGAAGAAGAAAATTGCTTTAATACATTAATAAGTTAACTGTAATACAGTTTTAAAAGTAACCAGTAATTATAAATGTTCTAGCCCTCCTTCAAGTATGTTTTCCTGTGGGAATGATGGCGATTTGAACTGGCTTTAGATAGCACGGAGACAATGGAGTAAAAAGCATTCGCTGCTATTCTTGACTTTATCTGGCCCCTCTTTGGGATAGGTCTTGCGCCCCTGGGACTCCTGCCAACTGCATTGGCTTGAACATCTACCACCTTGTTGTTCATGATGCCGACCGGGTATCTTTACCTTCTTTGAGCAGCTCCTACTTTAGAAGTTTGATGAGTGAGGATTGTATATGCCTGCTTGACTTGCCTTAGTTGCTAGTTTATATAGCCCTGCGATACCTCATCACGATACCAGGGGTGAGGATTTGATTAATATGGAAGAGGGAAGAAGTCTAGAAGTAGACCTTAGAAGATTGGTGAGAGTTGGGTGACATGCCAGCCAATTTGTCAGGCTGTAAAAGATTCCTTGTGGCTCAACTCGAGACAGGATAAATTCATGGTATGATTTGGTGACTGGCAGAATTAGTTATCCATCGGTATAATAGGCATATGATGATTATTTTGAACCTGTTTGATCACCAACACGTGCGGGTTTCAAAGATATCTAAGAGCTCTGCTATGAATTTAGTGCTGGTTTCTGGTATTTTTTAGTGGATGAGTAGAGCATATACTAGGCAAATGTATGGTTCGATATTCTGTTTTTAATTCATTTTGACTCGCAGATTTGTTTGTTTAAATGCATTTACCAAGGTTTTATGAAGCATGAATCTGTATTGATGTATATTTAATGGTTCTGCATGTTCCCAGGCAGGCCTCAGTAATGTCATATTGTTGTGTCATAGCCCACAGGTCAAGCCACCTTGCTATAATATGTCTACTTGATTCGGCTCACATGGTCAGTTGATTCACCAGGCAGAATATCATATAAGCGAGAGAGAAAGAGAGAGAGAGAGAGACAGCACAACAATAACAACGACGAATATGATAATGTTGTTGGTTATTCATACATCTGTTTCTCTTCACCTCTTACAGTGTTTGTAAAATTACAACCTTGTTCTGAGAAATGCATGCTGTCAATTTTCAGATCCATTCTCTCGTGTCTCATGAATTTGATAATTTCCAAGAGAATTATTTCTGTTTTTGTAAAAGTCGATACCTGCCTTTTATATGAAGCCTTTGACCAGTATCATGTATCAATGTCTCTGATTAAGAAGGTTGGCCTGTCTCGTCCTGTTGAAATTGAAAAACTTGTCTCATTCTCTTTCAAAACCATGTGCAGACGCAGCCGAATCAATTTACACAGACAATTTTGAGTTTCTTTAATCAGTAGGGCTCAATGCAATCATTCAGCAATCTTAGGTTTGAAAAGGGTGGTCATCCCCATCCATTCTATGCTACTACAAAATCATTGGCTCAACAATTCCGATTTACCTACCCTGAATATTGTAACACAATTCCACTGTTCTCCGAAGGAATTTGTATACCAGATTCCATTAAAAAAATAAACGAAGAAAAAATGTCCTTGAGACTATATTATAATGATTCCCCCTAAAGGCTCTAGACAAAAGCTCTACGTACAATGTGGACAAAAGACTTGGCTGGCATGCCTCCTACTGTTAGTGCATCACCCAATCGGCCCTATCCTGTTTCCCATGTTTATATTAACGATGAATTAAGAAATCATTATAGTATTTGACTTCATCCAGA